ATAAATACAATCTATTTATATACATTTAATCTCTTTCCAGCCGCACATGAATTCATCTGGATTGGCGTTGAGGATCCTCGTTTTCGTCTCCTTCATATAGTCGGGTACGCTTTGACTTTCTCTAAATATTTGAATATTGCTTTTTGTCCGTTTACTAACTAATGTTGACCTACGTGGTTGGGCATCCATTGTTTTTTCCGGTTGTCCCAGACGTAGGAGCGCACATCTCTTCTAAATATTAATATCACTTAATATTTATATAAACTCACTTTAGTTGCTATTGTTTTTATACTTACAGTGCCAGTTGTAGCCCCTTGAACAGCTCTTTTCGATACAGCACCCTTTCGTCAGTGCGCAATTTGAGGGCCCGTTCCCTCTCCTCATTGGTGGTCCCCAGACTCATGAAATATCTGAAGATTTTTTTGCATTTGTAAAACTCAAAAACTTAAAAGTGAGATGTCCAACGCCTACTTTGATTGTGTTGGATTCACCACTACCCCTGATTTCAACTCGTTGTGGCCGTAGCCAATATAATCCTCCCCAAAATCTAAAAATCGCACATTTCTTGAAGTTTATGTTCCAAAATTTACTTACCTAGTAGCAACGTTTCAATCTGCATGGGCAGACCTAGGAGGAGGTCGTTCCTTCCATTCCTCCCATTTAACCGCACGGCATAATCCTGTATCTTCTGGGGAGGATTGGTAATCTAGATATTTGGTATGTGTCTTTGCAAAACCTATTGAATAATTGCTAACCTTCATAAACAGAAAACGATAAAGACCGGCAAAAATTTGGAACGGGGTGCTGCATTCTTTCGGATGGTAGTCACTCACCATGTCTTGAAGAGCCACCTCAAGTTGATTTCGGTTTATTTTCATACGAGTTGAAATCCTGGGCAAAATCTTGGGCGTTACTTACCTTCACGAAAGGTTCGGGTCCATCCATGTTCCATTGCCTAGTGAAATTTTTGACGGACATTAGTGGCTTGCTTTGAGGACCATCTTTTCTTTCCGAAACTTCCACCAAACGCATATAGCGATCCAGTTTCGCGCATTGTATCTCACCCTACACAAAAATTCATTACGTCCAGACCCGTACATGTTAACGTCGAGAATAGTTACCATCATGAAGCTGCTTATTCCTACAAGACGCATTTCTAGGGTTGTATCCGAGAGATTAAACAGTCCATCGTTGCGAAAATACTGTATGCGCGACGCAACTTCGGATCTTACGAATTCCTAAATTAACTTTGCTTACACAAGTTGTATTCAAGGTAACTTACGTCATAGACATTCTGATTAAAGCTTCCTTCTTTTCTTTGCTTCAGAATGAGTTGCGCGGCCTTATACATGTCAAGACTTCCATTGTGCGTGCATTCGTAAAGTGAGGCGGCAGGTCTTTCAGGTACTTCTACGTCCTCTTCAAAGTCAAACTCAGGTCGATTTAGAGTGTTTCCTAAAGACTTTGCTATATAACATTTATGTCACATCGATTATAATAAGGCTTACCAGGTCGCACCTCCGTCTCCGCTTCTATGGGGAGTTGATCACTATAAAGGACTCCTGGAGTTCTGTCCGTTATTGGGGTAGGTGGCCTGAAAAATGTTTTCTTTTTCTTTAATGTAATATTCGATATTCAAACTTACGGGGCTGTTTGTGCTGATCCAAATGATAATTGAGGACGCTTTACATTTACTTTTGAACGCGGTCGTACGGGTGCGCGGCACCTGGTAGGGGTGTAGTTTGCTGTGGTTCTCGGT